TAACGCTCTACTCTTGTTTAACCTTTCCATCGTTCTATTATCTCTTTGGCTAGTTTCGTAATTACGCTTTTTTTCATGCCAGCTTGAAGATTCGCCTCATTCTTTATTACAGGAATGGCGAGTTCTCTTACTATTCCTCCTAACTATCACCGAGATGTTATTGGGGACTCGAGATTTATTATTCCACAGCGGTATTCTCAATTGAAACCTATTGGATCTGGTGCCCAAGGCTTTGTTGTGTAAATTATTTTTTTACTGGTATTTTATCTAAGATAAAAATTAATCGATTTTTCTACCTGATGTTAATATGTAATTCCTTATTACTCTTTTGCTTGTTATGAATTAAATAGGTCAGCATATGATTCTATTCTAAATAAAAACATTGCAATCAAGAAGCTTGCCCGACCTTTCCAAAATGTGACTCATGCAAAACGAGCTTACCGCGAGTTTGTTTTGATGAAACTTGTTAATCACAAAAATGTACGTGATTTCCTTCTATCCGCATATCACCGAGTTTTGATTTATTATATTAGTTCTTTTTGACTTGTAGATAATCTCGCTTTTGAATGCGTTTAGCCCCCAACAAACTCTTGACGACTTCCAGGATGTCTATCTGGTTATGGAATTAATGGATGCCAATCTATGTCAAGTATAGTCACTTCACTCTTATTATTCGTTATAAAACTATTCAAAAACTATTTTTTATTTCATTCTTAGGTTATACACATGGACTTGGATCACGAAAGGACTTCATATCTGCTGTATCAGCTGCTATGCGGGGTCAAGCATTTGCATGCCGCTGGAATTATTCATAGAGATTTGAAGCCCAGTAATATTGCTGTCAAACACGATTGCAGTCTTAAAATTTTGGACTTTGGGTTAGCAAGGACAGCAGGAGATAGCTTTCTAATGACGCCTTATGTTGTAACTAGGTATATTTCCTGGAATAATTTATTTAAAACTAAGAATTGCTTAACCTATTTAAAAAAATTTTCATCAACGAATCTTTGATTTTGCCTAAATTTCTTGTGATATTACATATTTTTAGACAATTTTGACATAGTCGAAGTTTAGTTTTAATTATATTCTCCGAATACCAAATACATTTACTGTTGGTTTACATTTACATAATTACAAGTGAATTATTTCGGAAGAATC